CTGTGACCTGTATTCCAGCCTAAGTGACAGAGCGACTCTATCTCAAAAAAAACAAAACAAAACAAAACAAAAAAAAAAAAAAAAAAAAAAAAAAAAGAGAAAATACTATGAACTGGACATTTAAAAAACTTTTTGATCAAAGAAGAAAATTTAAACTGAAGTTGGAGAATATCTAGAAAGTAATAATGTGACAATAATTTTGAGACTGTTTCCAAAAAATTTTTTTGTAAAATTGAAGATCAAGAAACAAAATCTAGCAGCACATTGAAAGAGTAACTTTCAGCGTGCTGCTAGATTTTGTGACCAAGTGGAGTTAATTAGAAATATAGGGATAGTTCAATATTAACATATCTATAAATATGTATATATATGTGAAATATGTGAAACCTATACCATCCTCTGTATAGATGTTGAAGAGTCATCTGTTAACATTTAACATCTATCCTAGATTCTTTTAAAATGAACCCTCTTAAGAAGAAAATGGATAATTTCTTACACTGTTGAAATATATTTCAGCTTCAAAATCAGCATCTTGATTAAAGAAGGAAGCTCTCATAGCATTCCTGTTAAAGTTAGGAACAAGAGAGGGACAAGACCATCATTATTTGTGTTTGGAGATACCAGCCAATAGAATTAGAAGTAGAAAATAGAAATATAGCAAAAATAGAAGTATAAAAATGAAAAGGAGGTAAATTATTACTTGCTGATGATATTGTTGTATAACTGGTGATCCAAAAGAATCAACTAAAAACAGCATTAAGCATTAAGATAATTCTGGAAGGTAACTGGGTACAAAATTAATGTGCAGAACCTAGTAGTGTTTCTATATAAAGATACATGTTTATTAAATGAAAACACACACTATGTGTAACAGCAACAAAAAATATAGAAATAAATCTAATAGGAAGAATCTAAGGCATAAAAAGGGGCATTTCATTTCATCTAAAGTGTCAAATATATTGGCATGAAGTTGTTTGTAACATTCCCATATCCTTTGAACAGCTTTATCAAGATGAAATTCGTATATCATAAAATCCACCCATTTAAAGTGTGTAATTCATTGGCTTTTAGTATATTCAGAATTGTGTGACCATCACCATAATCTAATTTCAGAACATTTCCATCACCCACAAAAGAAACCTTACACCCATTAGTCCATTTCCGTTCACTTCTCCCCTTGTCAAAAATCAATTGACAATAGATGTGTGGATTTCTGGACTCTCAATTCTGTTCCCTTCATCTCTGTTTCTGTCTTTATGCCAGTACCACACTGTCTGATTATTATAGTTTTGTATAGTAGTTCCCCTTCTCAGTGGTTGTGCCTTCCATGGTTTCAGTTACCCATGGTCAACTGAGGTTCAAAAACAGTAGGATACTTTGAGGGAGAGAGAGACCACATTCACATTTTATTACAATATAATAATTGTTTTATTATTAATCTTTTATTGTGCATAATTTATAAAGCCAGCTTTCTTACAGGTATATTTAGGTAAAAACAGTATATTTAGGGTTTGGTACTATCCATGGTTTTAGGCATCCACTGGGGGTCTCAGTATGTATCCACCATGGATAAGGTGGATTACTATACTTTTGAAATAGGGACGAGTAAGTCCTCTGACTTTGTTGTTTTTCAGATGATTTTTGTGTTTTCTAGGTCTTTTGCATTCCCATATGAAATTTAGGATCCTAGTATCAGTTTCTATGCCCTCCCTCCCAGCCCCTGGCAAAACAAAACAAACAAAAAACCCCATTTTGATACTTTGCTTTTTCCTTTCATCGCCTTCCCTCCCCTCCCCTCCCCCCATTCCTCCTTCCCCTCCCCTCCCCCTTCCCCTCTCC